GTAAGTGCAGAGTATTTAACTACGCTGTTCAAATTATGGTAGCATGTTAAGCTTGAGATAGGTCCAGGGGATTATATCTATCCAATATATGATCATCCTTTGATTTGTCGTGTGGGTAGAGTTGAATCTTAGTGCAAAGCACTTGGGCACTAGTTACTTTCTGGTATACTGTGATAGTCATATTACCTGGTTATGCTGTTTAATTTTTAGATACGGTCACATGATCGACAATGTTGTGCTAATTGTTACGGGAACTTTGCATGAGAGAGATGTTCAGGAATTGTTGGAGAAATGCCATCCTCTGGGAATGTTTGACAGGTAGTTTATCTGAAATTCGGAATCCAACATTTTGTGCAAAATGCAAGTGGTAATAAAATAGATTTTTTCCATTCATTTCCACAGCATCGCTACTCTCGCAGTCGCCCAAAATATGAGGGAGCTTTACAGACTGGTGCTTGTTGATACACCTCTGGCTCCCTACTTTTCTGAATGCATCACTTCAGAGGTATTGGTTGCAGCACATAACTTTGCTGTGTGGTAATTGAAAATTTTGCCTGCTCCATGTTACATTTTTATCATCATAGTTATACTACTCATGGTCTTCTCACCATGAAGCTCAACTGTTAATGGTTTTATATATTTAAGAATATATCTCATGTAGATGTATGTATGTCAGATCTTTGTTATCTGAAGTGAAATAATATGGGGCCTATCTTTGTTATCTAAAGGTTTTTGTCTGTCTGCTTTTCACTCATAAGGACATTCTTGCAGGACTTGGATGACATGAATATTGAAATTATGAGGAATACTCTCTACAAAGCATACCTTGAGGATTTCTACAGATTTTGTCAGGTAAAGGTTTTATTTTGGAGTTTTAAAAGAATTTCCTTTTCTTCCGTCTGGGAAGTGTATCCCCCTGTTTTGGACTCGACTCTAATGTGAAATCTTTAAAATAGAAAATTGGTGGTGCCACTGCAGAGATTATGTGTGACATCCTAGCTTTTGAGGCTGACAGAAGGGCAGTTAATATCACTATAAACAGGTTCTGTAGTGTGAATTTGTTTTTCTGAATTATACTCTTAGTTGGTACCTTATTTTCTGACCCTGTCATATACCTTTAATTGTAATATTCAGCATTGGCACTGAGCTTACTCGAGATGAGCGTCGCAAATTGTACTCTAATTTCGGATTACTGTAAGGACTTTTGCATTGAATTTTACCATTTTCAAGTATTGAAATTACGTGGTTTCATGGAGCTCCTTTTTCCCTAAGTAATGTAGTAATGTTGATGAAATTATGGAATAGATATCCTTACGGTCATGAGGAGCTTGCTGTTTGCGAGGATATAGATCAGGTATTTAATGGGTTTAGTCATGTTCTA